TCATCTTTTCACGGTGTATAATTTACCTTTTCATCATTACTGTTTCATTAGAAACACCGACGCAGCTCACACTAGTTTTTAGCTAGTTATATCAAGTTGAATTTGTTTAATTAATAAACTTTCAGTAAAAAACGCATGAAACATTGCGAGGAGGAGTGGGGGGAGGGGAAGGGGGGGTTGGGGAGAAAAACAGTGCTGTCTTCATCTTCCCAACCAAAAGCAAATGTAACATGACATCATGCCTAATTGAAGGTAAAAGAGACGCAAATGGAAATTGATACTAGTAGTAACAGAGAATTCGAAGTTCTTTTTTCTCTTTGCAGGTAATGGCACAACACAACTACCCAAAACTCAAGGTAAAAACACTTTTATAAAATTCCAATCAGTTGATGCACTACCTTGTGCTTTATATCAAGCATTGTTTATCTCAAATAGCCCGCGTCAATGAGACGTCAACTGAAGCGGAAAAACCAACAACCACAGCAAAGATAACAGAAACTGGATCAACAGCAAACACAGCGAAACGAGTCGGTAAGAGGCTTGTTTAGGAAACCTGACAATTTTATAGATCCTATGTTTTGATATAGCTGATGTTTGATCCATGATAGAATGTTCATTGGTGCAAAATTTCCCCATTTCAGGCTACATGTCAATTCTTCTTAAGAATAAGATTCTTTGTTCAATTGAAATCCCTATGATGTAAATCTGGTGCGCATCCATTTGACAAACATGGCAACCATCTTGATTGTCTTAAAAGAAATGAAGACAGGTCTTACGTAATTAAAAGGTCAACCAAAATGGCGGCAATGACGTCACATGTACAAGGACAAAGACGTGGCCGCCATGTTAGTTGACATAACAAGAAAAACAAAGACCAAATATTTTGATTATATATCAACCAACCAACATGGCGGCAATGTCGTCACATGCTCAAGGACAAAAGACATGGCTACCATTTTGGATGACATAACAAACAGCCCAAATCTTCAAAATACTGTCACATGAACCCCAAGCCGGTATTGTTAAGAGTTTGATTGTCTGGCATTTAAAGTTATGATGTAACTGAAAATTATTGTAACTTTTTTTGTCATTTTAAGTTAAAGAGTGTCAGATTCGTATCAAACGAGCTTGGGTTGATGAATATAATGATGTAAGAAGCCATGCGTTTGATGCTATTTCGAGTCTTCTTTGGAAAGAGGTTAGTATTCTTTATTTTTTTCTTTCCCTTTCTTTCTCTCTATCTCTCTTTTCTCTYATTATGAATCATTCCCTTCTCCATCTTTTTTTCCTTTCCATATGATTTATAAATCATTATACTCCAACACAAACTTGATCATTGAATCCTTTCAATTCTAGATTTGGGCCTCGTTTATACAAGCCAAAAATCACAACCTCTTAAAAGTCGTCGTTTCTAAGTTAAGGTAGCGTCAATGTCATGTATTACTCTAGATCAAATTGTCATCATGTGCAAAAATTTTACGATCTTTTTCTTTGCAGAAAAGGAAGTATAATTGCTGAATTTGAACTGATTTTCAAAAATGAGCCCGAAGAACCTTTAAAGCCAATCAAAGATCGGATCAAAGATGGGAAACTAGGCGAGCTAGAGGTAGATGCTGACTCGTTAACACTAAGAGATGAACACCCCAAAGGTAAAAAAAAATGGTGAAACATATCTTGCCATCGCGCGTATTCTTGACAGTTCAATCTTTAATAATGACTTYTTTTTTTTTTYCAGATAAAAAACCAGAGCCCAAGGACAAAGGCTCTATAATTATTATCGTTATTGTCATTGTCGTGATAGCCATTGTTGTGATAATTATAGTAATCGTAGTGATTGCCTATAGGAGAAAACAAAAGCGTACCCGTAACCTTCAACGAATCCGAAAACAGGACGAAGATGGTAAACCTGGAGAATTGTTACCACTAACAGAAAAGAATAGTTCTAAATAGAATAAAAGACTTAGGTCGAACATTTTTTAACTAAATGAAAGAAAATACTCTTTTCGGAAGTTGAAGATGAAATTTTCTTTACAAGTCGGGGTTTCTTGATTCGGGCTTCTGACCAGTAGGAACGCCGGCTCACACAAATGGCTGTTCACCCCTGACTGAGCCCAGGTACAGAAAATGCATATTTAGGATAGATAATTAAAATATATAGTTTAGATAATTATGATTATACGTAATGTTTTTATATATAAATAGTATAGTAATGAAATTTTTTGGAATACCGGTTGCCAGTTGACCTCCTTACCCCTCTGGTTGCAGGCATTTTCCAGTTCTCTTGCGAACAGGRTTATTTATCAATCTTGTCTGAAATATTATGGAAAATGGACTGTGTCAGTAGGAAAAACATTACTTCCAAAGTTTAAAGTAATGTCTTTAGTTTTCTTTAGCTTTAGGTTATTTGTTTGTTACGRAATTTAGCCAATGAAAATTCTCATAAGTTACCGTCCCTGTAGGGGCAAGGCAGTGCATGGCACGTCTGTCCCGAATATTTATCATCATTTGCCCTTGGCTTTTGCTTTTTAAAACATTGATGTAACGCAGTATCGTATTTCTCCTGAGAAATCGATTCTTCCACCTTCTCGTCGAGTCCAGTCTTTAATRAAGAGACCAATAAATATATAATGAATACCGACATGTGTTAAAGGCAGAGTATTTATTCGTGAAAATTGAAATTATCGTTTCACCAAAAGTACTTGAATACTAGTAATCTCAAAAAAAAAAAAAAACATGTCAAAACCGATAATCAGTAGGACTGATCAGTCAAGACTTATCGCTTCTGCCGTCTGTTGTTGAATAAAATGGATTTTTAAAGCAGAATATTGTAGTTTTGTAGCGATATTCCACTTTATTAAGAGGTTTGTTTTTGAAAGTCTTTCGAGCTGAAGTCAATGTCATTTGTTTTGTACATTTTGTGCCATACTTTTACTTATTAAGATTAGGTCAAGATTGGACTGGAAACTCAAAACCTCTCAACGTGTAAATATTTTCACATATTTTAAGATATTTTATATAAGGAGCTCAGGGGCTACATTTTGAATGCGATGTAACATGGAACAGTTGTTTATCCGTGTCTCCCCGTTTCACTCGTCACCCCCCTCCACTTTGAACTAGTTGTCATTCCTCTAGTGAATCACTTTCTTAATCCAGCTGCTATTACATCRGGTACTACCTATCCACATTCGTACTAAATTCGGACGACATTTATCGCATTCACCTTGGCCATCAGACCTTTTGTTTTTCCCGATAGGACTTCTACAGAAAGGGCCGGTCTGCTGACCCAGAAGATTTTTGATACGTTTTTAAAAGTACGTCAGTCCTCGTACAACAACCTGAACTACTTCAACATTCCTACCCAGAAAGGTCAAGTCCTATTAATTTCTCTCAAATTTCAATCAAAATGGCTTCCATAGAAACGAAGTTTTTGGCTTTTTTATTTAGCATTGCGCAGAAGTATGAACATAAATCCATGAAAAACGAATGTAGCTATTCCAGAAGCAGTTAGGGTTTGACAAAAATTTGAAGATTTGTTTTCGACCCTGAGCCAGTCCAAGTACCTTAACTACTTCCGGTTGCGTTACGTGAGACGGGGAACGTCTGTCTCTTGTTTCAGTACATTTTCAGTCTAACTAAATGTTTCCCGAGCTAATCAGTGGAAACTAAATAAAAAAAATTATGTGATGTAGAATATAAGGTTTGATTTTCAGAACGACACATCAGAACAACAGCAATTTGAATTTAAGCCACTTTTCCTATTTCGTGTCACTAGGTCAGGGGTTATGTACTAAAAACTGCTGCACTTGATTTCAACTTCGCAGTGCGCAGCAAAAATGGCTCCAGTACAGACGCTTTTGTTCTTGAGTTTGTTTCTCTTGATACCTACTTTTACCACTTGTGTTACAGACCCTTGTAATAATTACCAGTCGATTAATAATCCATATCGTAGTCAAAAGTACAAAGTTTCCCCAGGAGAATATTTTCTTTGTGATAACAAGCTAAAACAAGGATGGTACAGATTCACTAGTATCGTTGGAGGGAAGATGCCGACGACAAAACCACAGCCATACCACTGTGGTACAATAGCACCAATATGGATGCGAGGAACCCATCCTACATCTAAAGACCAAGTAGCCAATGTCACAGCCTGTACTAACTTTCACAACAGACGCGGTGGGTGTTCATGGCCTACACTGATTTCTGTCAAAAACTGCGGGGATTTCTTTGTTTATGAGTTAGGACCAAGTCGTGGTTGCTCTATGGCGTATTGTGCAGGTAATGCAAAACTTTCATGACAATTGTATTGCAGGAGAGTTTGGCACTTGCTTGACAATCAGTAGCACTATTCAAAACTTAATAGAGATCGGAGTAAAGCGAAATTGATTATAAATAAAAAGAGTGGTACCCAACGCTAAACTAAGTTCTTTCCCGGGTTCTTTGTAGGATGGAACTAAAAAGGTAATTGCCAGAAACAATTGCACAAACCGGCTTTAATATATACATGACGCAGGAACAAAACTAAATGCTTATATGTTTGCACTTGGCTTATGAAAAGACGTCACAACTGAGTACAGAAAGCACTTCATGCATTAACGAACTAAGGGAAATCAGAAGCATGCTCATGTCTATAAGAACTTTACTTTTTCCTAAAGCATACATGTAATTCTTATTTTATGACCATCCCAACAACAGTAATATTCAGCGTTCGTTTTTCAATTATTTTCGATAAATAGAGTGTGTTAATCTGATAGCTATCGATCTAATTTCTTGTTTCTTGTTTATAAGGGAATGTAAAACGAGATTTAGCTTATCTCTAGGATAGAATGTAAACTATTTGTTTCCCGTCATGTCAATAACAACCTGATGAAATTTAATATAAGTAGTTGCTAATGTCATGATTTTTAACGTCATCACTGACTAGGCGTTCCCTTAGCCGTAGAATTACTTCCAAAGGTATATCAAATCAGAATTTTAAGAAGAAAAATATTGGTCGGATTTATTTAACAAAAGAATTGTCCATGAATTATTTTGTTATTTTAACCAACATGGCCGCCGTGTCTGGATATTTCACTCTCTTGGGACTGATTTAAACTGCACCATAAAGGAGATATTTCTGACGGTATTTCTAATTACAAAATAACAAAACATTGTTTACAATTCAAATGGATATAGTAAATATTGAAGTAATACTTAACCGGCTTAAGTCCAATCCCGAGTTAATCATTYGCTCTGGGTGAGAAACACAAACAAACCGATCATTATTTAACAATTATTCGCCGAAGGCGAAGTGTTTATTGGGGAATATTTACCGAGACGCGAGGTAAATATTCCCCAGTAATCACTGAGCCTGTTAATTGTTTTAGTATAAATACACAGGTGATTCTTTCAAAAAAAGAAAAAAAGCAAGATAAAAGGCTTTTTTTTTCGGTAACAGCAAAAAAAAAAAAAAGGCTGGACGCCATTTTGGATTTTCGCTCAAGGTGATTATCGTGTGATAGTGTAAGTTTCTTGACCAATCAGCGCGCGAGATTTTCTATTATCACCTGCGTATTTTTACTAATATTCAATAAAGTGTAGCGAAGTATAATACATAAGATGCATTCATTTGGAGTCTCTTTTTTTAAGGGGGGGGGGGCTTATCGCAGGACCAGGTTCGAGTAGACTGCCTTTCTAATACGGYGGCCATTTTGCCAGGGGGGAAAACAAAATAAAGATGACAAAAATATCTAGAGTTTCGTGTGTTTGTCTTTCTTTTATGGATAAAGGTGATCGATGTGATTCATCTTTTGTTATATTCTCTTGTGGTGAGCTGTTGATATTAATCAATGCCATTCCTGTTACAAAGCTTTATTTGCCCCTGAACGCCCCATAATGCCTTGTGACTCTAGATAACCGCCGTATCGTCAAAGTAGTCCATTAGCTCACCAGCATATTGTCTGATCAGTCAGAAACATGAAATGTTAATCTACTGTCAACTTTGTTTCTATCTACAGGAGATCTAATGCCTTGCTCAAAAGGACATATAGGAATCGCCCCAAATTGTACAGGTAAGATGGTAAAGATCCCTGTAGGAGAAGGCGAGTGCTCGTAATTGCTTTTTTAGAGGGTAAATCATTGAGAACGTTTTCCACTTATGCTAGCGGTTTTTGTGATCAGTTGGACCCGGAAATACGTCACAACTGAACTATACCAAAGGTCTATACCTAACTAGTTCTGTATGCGCAGACTCAGTGTGGTCTAAATACGCGAAGTTTAATCTAAACGGTTTTATTCTCATTCAGTATCGATCATTACTCCTTTTCCGTATCGCCTCGTGCCAACACCAAACATTACTTATATGGACAACACTGAAAACCCGTACGTGACAATGCTGTGCAAGTTCGAGTTCCCTCTCTGGAAAAACGTTTCATTTCACGTCCAATGGTTCACTGATGGATACACTACTAAGAACCATACCATTTGTAAGGATCAAGATCCAAAACAAGAAGGTCAAGCTTGTAGTCTGAGACACAGTGAACTCACTTCAGACCCTCAGGTTGGACAGTTGTTCCAGGCAGGACACCGTGTAAGACAAACAACTTCTGTATCACAACTATGATTTCTACTTTTAACCAATTGATGCCGTTGTTTAATGTAGTCCTTGTAAAAAAATCCCCCAACCTCTCCCCCACTAAAATATCCAGTCCTTTTTCTCTAAGAATACAATATTACTGTTTATCAATAAAAGCCGCTAACTTTCTCCAATAGTACGAGCCGCGTATGCCGTGTTCGCTTATCAAGTGAACTTGATTCTTGTTTAATTAGGTACGATGTCGACTTCGAATGAAGTACACGACCAACACAGAAAACAAATGGACAACGCTATGGCGAGATAGCAATAAGTACTATGTTGGTATTGAGGTACAACTGTCCGAATTAGTTTGTTCAATACAAATATCAAGAGGTTCAAATTTTTCAGGAACCTATTGACCAGTATACCTCTTTATCTTATTTTCTTTTTCCATTTCAGACCTTGTGTCATTCCCTAGAGTACAATTTCTTTGTTTAAATATACCGCTGAAACAAAGAATCATTCTCAAGGGAATGAAACGTGGTATGAAATGGAAAAGCAATACCTCCAAGATAAAGGGGTCTGTTTACTATATAGTAATTTAAGTTTTGTCTTTTCTTATTTCATGTCTAGGTTAATCCCACTCATCTCATAGTAAAAGAATGTGAACCAGACAAGAGTGTAACTGTCACATTCCGTCCAACCGTTCCTGTTGTACCTGACAGATTTAGCGTTTCAAAATATGTACCAGTTAGGATTTATGTACCAGAGCAATACAAGGGAAAGAATAGGCAAAGTGCCGTGGATAGCTGTGTTCTTCAACTGAAAACCGAAGACATGAAACTTGGCAAAAAACTCAAGATTAAAGGAATTTGTGACAATCAAAATGAACCTGTTACAACACTGGACTATCATTTTGCAATAAAAGATAATCATCCATTTTGGGGGTATTATAGAATACCATCAGTAAGGGTATGTATGATGTATACAGCTAAACTGAAAATAGAGAGCAGAACAGATCAAAGCAGTAGCATTCAAACTGTATTTAAATTCTTACTTCTCAATTCGAAATATTTTAAAAGGGGAGTAGTGTCTAAGAGAAGGGGAGACGCAAAAAAGATATGATATCTTTCGTTTAGATTTGCTTGTTTGTTTTGTTTTWTAGGTCACAATCGAAAATACTGATCAAAATCAATGTTCAGCAACAGGAGATCYACATTACTTGACATTTGATAAGAGGTAATAAACTGAGTTGTGTGATTTTTGATCGAGTACTATTCTCTATTAACAGTATTTCATAGCATTTATCATTTCTGAAAAACGTAATTGTCATCTAACTTGTACACTCTTTTTGGATTTGTTTATCAGTACCTTAACATGTCATGAACGATTGTTTCGTTTAAATTATAATGGAAATTACCAGTACTTTTACTACATAAAAATAAGCTTACTTTCCTTCGTATTGTATATTATTTTACAAATAAAAGATTATCGGTTTGACGTTGTTGTTGTCGCGGCTGAAGTGCACTAGACATCGAGCCGGATTATGCCACTCAGCTTTCGATGCAACTTAGTAAATTATAACTTGGAAACTTAGGGTAWTTTGCTTTGTTTTTGAGAATTGCAATTAAATAGTTAAGCTTGAATCAAATTTTACCGCCGTATTTCAATCAATTTGAAGTTAAAATTCTTACCTCAAGTCGGCTTCGTACATTATAGACTTTGTTCAGCGAAAAGAAAGACTATTTTCAGTGATTTTCCATCAAACTATAGCTATAAAATAAGCCAAGAACTATATCAATACTGATGTCCTCAATACTGTTGCACACTGTTGCACAGGCGTCAAGAATGAAGTAATTAAATATGCATTTTGAAGAATTCTCATTGGTTGATACAGAAATGGCGCGAAAAACGGCACTGTTCACATTTTGGCTGCTTCAGTAACTTGTTTTTCGTATGTTTCTGTATTAAGTTTATAATTCATTTTTATTTTTTGTTTCTTAAATATACTTTTATTAGTTTAATATTTTTTATTTGTTTGTTAAGTCAGTTTAGTTTGTATATTTGTTGGAATCATTAATGTTATTTCTCGGCTTTTGTCCTTTTCTGAAATTTAAGGTACTACGACTTCTACCAACCAGGAGATTACGTTCTTTATAGCAACACAAGACGAAACTTTGAGGTAAATAAATGAAAGTGGGCTGCTTGTAGTACAAATAATTAATAATTTTATTTGCTTGCAGTCCGGCGTTATTTCACTGGTATTTCTTTTATTTGTTTAGATACACACACGGCTATGGACATGCTGGAGTGTTACTTGTAACTGTGGGGTAGCAATACGTGAAGGAAATGACGTCATTGTCATATCTGCCTGTAATAAAAACCTTCAGTATAACCAGCCGACTCTGCTCAGAGCAAATGTACGTAGTAGTGGACAATTGGCCCGCGGAACGCACATTTACAAGCATGTAAATGGTGGTACTATAACACATACCGTAAGTACCGTAGTTTTCTTATTTAATTTATGTTCATTGTGGTAATATATTTTTCGCCTTTTTGTGAGCGCTTATGAATTTGATAGCCTACTTTATTATTTTATTTATACATATAGTTTCTATAAGTTGTCCCGTGCGAGCTCTCGTGCGAGCTCACCTAGGGAGATCACGTAATATAAACCTCAGACAAAATTAGATGGAGTGCACRAAGTAATTAACAAAATAGTAGTATAAGGGACTGTTCATTATTTAACTGGGGGAGGGGRCTGGGTGAGAAATTGGAAAAGGCGCCCATTTTTTTARGGACCCCCCAACAAAGAAAGACCCCCCTTCACTATATTTAGACCTTCACCTGAAATTTCAARTCCCTTCCCTTAAATCCATTAAAAAAATTCCACAAAAAAAAAATCGTTTTGTACATGAAAAATGTTCGAGGCCCCTCCTTTTCTCACCCAGCCCCATCCCCCAGACAAATAATGAACGGTCCCTAAAGCGTACAGAGTTTTTCTATTTATTTATTTATGAGATGGTGTTTGTAGATGATAAAGGTGTGGTGATGCTTACGTATACCATATATATAAATAAGTTGTCTAAAGTGAGCACAAGAAGGATGCATTACCCAGTATAACAGACTACACCTATATTTCAATACTTCTTTAGGTTATTCTTCCATCTGGTGCACGTGTAAAAGCGGTACGTTATTCATGGGGTTTGAACCTGTTTCTTGATGCGCCAAAACGCGATGCAGCTCATACGAGTGGTCTGTGTGGTGATTTCAACGGAAATCCAAACGATGACTTCGATAAAGGAGGAGACAAACAAGCTCATGGGAACGACGCAACGTCTTTTGCTAACAGCTGGAGGTAGCTCGAACTTTATGACTAAACAATTTACTCTATCTAAATTGATGTAATACTGACCCCAACCAATGACAAGCCATTTACTCTTCTTGATTTCAGAGTGACTCCAGATAAAAGTTATTTCGAAGTTTTGCCTCCAAGAAAAAACGTTGTGGACAGGGGTAGATCTTGTTTCTGTCCAACAGAAAAGACACAAGACATGATTGCGAAATGCAAAGACAATGCAAATCGTTTCGTAGCGTTTGGTCCGGATCCTGGAGAAGACATCGTTCCAATAATCCAAGGRAATCGCAAGAGGTCTATACAAGGCAAACTGTACACAGATGATATTATGGATACTGAGGAACGTAGTTTCTTTGTGGATGAGAATGATGCAATGGAGGCAGTAACGCGCATGCGCGTCAGAAGAGATGTCAGCGGTCAGTTTCCTAAAGAAAATGCAACACAGTACTGYAAAAGTATTATTGAGGAATCGACAGCTGGAAAGACGTGTAGTCAAGTGCCTGGATTCAACTTAACTACCGCGATGGAACAATGTATCGTTGACTTGGAGGTATTTAGTATGAATATGAAAGGAGAAATAAAAAATAGAAAGAAAGATAAAAGGGGGGAGGAGGAGAGGGAGGGAGAAATTAGGAGACGGAGGAAGGGACGGAGGGACGGAGGGACGAAGGGACAGAGGGACGGAGGGAAGAGAGGGACAGTGAGTTGAAGGGAGGAAAGGAAAGATGGGAGAATGGGTGGAAGGGAAGGGGGGACAAAGGGACGGAAAGGAACCTGTTTTTGCTTATCATGTAGTGGCCACTTTCACATATTGTGCCAATATGTTTGATATCTTCATACCTGACCTATATCAGATAACCGGTGACACGAAGTTCGCTGGCTCAGCCTTTGATGCCATGAAAGAAGGATGCGAAGAAGTGGCTTTAAAGAACATCTCCCTGTTCACAGAAGACGAAGACGGTGAATTGAAACCACCCGCTGAAATTGGAGATAATCTGTGTCCAAATGATTGTAGTAACCATGGTAATTGTACAAACAGAACGTGCATCTGTGAGGAAGGATATACGGCAGCTGATTGCTCTATGGCTGCTAATGCTGTTCCTCAATTGTTAGGGTACGTATCCTGAAGACAAACTGTGTCATTAACATGCTAAGTCGAAGTAAACTGCTGGTCTGTTTTCCAAATGCAAAAAACTTGCAATTTTATGCTTTTTCTCTCAAACAAGTATTTCATTCTACGATTGTTGTCTTTCTCAGTATATATGACGGTGGGTTGTGCGACATTCGCATAAGACCCTGTAAAAAGACAGACATATTTGGCGAAGATTTCATTCACTCAGAAAACCTTACTTGTCACGCCCAGGAATTCAAGGTAAGCCAAATGAATCAAGTCTTAGATTCTTGTCGATGGAACTAAGGATGCCAAGCATAGAGCCCCTAAGAGTTCATGAAAAAATTCGAACATTCAAGACATGAAGAACATATGTTTGTAAAAGCCTGATACCAATACAGTACAAATCTTTCTTTCTTTTAAAAATGCATTAGACCTAACATTTTAAATATTGCTTGTAGTTCCTACGGCTAAGGGTTCATCTTACCAGGGCTTTTCTCCTCTGGTAACACGCTAATATCATTGATGAGGATAGAGAAGGAGAAAGAGCGTGACATGTTTCCACATGCGTTTTTGTTCGTCTAGAGCTCGCCTCCTTACTCGTCTCCTTTAGTTATTTACACCTTCTAACTGTCATCACAGGTTGTACCAAGTGGTTGGAAACCTAAGCCATATCCTCAGAAATTTCCTGGTAAGATGATTGACATCTACGGTGTGAGATGTAATCTTCCAGATCCTCCGACAAAACTTGATGATTATGACCACCAGGGGACCCCTGCAGGGGGGCTTTGGATTTCAGTTTCTAACGACGGCGAGCACAAGAGTCAGCGGCAGATGAGGTTCATCACTTACGATTCTGTTTGTTTGACATGCAACAAAACAGGCAACTGTACTTTGAAAGTAAGTGAAGATATATAATCTATAGAATTATAGAATATAAATATCTTCAATATCTTGATAATATTATTTGTCGGTCTTAGGACAACTCCTGTTTGATTAATGGACATTGTTTTGCCGTTGGTCAACCTAACCCACGTGACTGGTGCCAGCAATGCATGCCGGGAGAAAGTCAGTCTTTATGGACCAGAAGAAAGGGCAAGTCTTTTTTGACTTATATAGAGACTAAACATATGCATTCAGAACATTAGTGATATAATGTCTTTCTTTGTTTATATAGTAAATCATGCACCAAAGTTCGCTGCAAATCAGTCTACTCGATGGGCCATCAATGGAGAGTACCTTCCATTGCAGTTGAAGGCAACAGACCCTGATAACCGTCCTGTTATATTCTCTCTAATAAGTTCCACTGCTACTGGTTRTACATTCAGTCCTACTGGTCTGTTGACATGGAACGTGTCGTCACAAAATAACCAACAGTTTGTATTCAAAGTCACTGACGAGTGTAACGCTACTGATACCATAACCATCACTATGCGTATCGTTGTTTGTCCTTGTCAAAATGAAGGCAAATGCTTACCCCACCCCTACTACCCACGGGGGTCTGGTCAGTACTATTGTGCCTGTCCTCGAGGGTTTACTGGGGACCGATGYGAGACAAATATTGACGACTGCGTGGGAATGAATTGTGGAAACGGTAAATCGTCACGATTAATTAATGTTTGAAAAATATATGGAGAGAGGATATACGATTTGAGCGCAATTATATGCATTCATTATGTCTTCATAATTTGGTACAAATTTTAGTTGAAAAATAGGAATAAAATAATTGATGTTTCTAGGTACCTGTGTGGACGGGGTGAATAATTATACGTGTCGCTGTGATGTTGGTTTTACGGGTTTCCTGTGTGATCAACGACTGACTCGCTGCACCAATCAGACGTGTTTCCCTGGTGTCACGTGTACAGAGATKTCTGGTAGAGTATCCTGTGGATCTTGTCCTGTGGGATTCTCTGGGGATGGGAAAACATGTGTAGGTAAGTAAAACGAATGGATATGAAACAATTTGGTCAATATAATGGCATGTTAATTACGACAGCATCCCTTGCGCGGTAAGTCTGCTCGCTCAATAAAAATGATTGGAAATGACACGTTCACGATCTCGGCACGACACGTTCACRATCCTGGTACGACACGTTCGCGATCTATGCACGACACGTTCGCGATTCCGGGACGACACGTTCGCGATCTAGGCACGACACGTTCACGATCCCGGCACGACACGTTCGCGATCCCGGCACGACACATTTGCGATCTAGGCACGACACGTTTACGATCCCGGCACGACACGTTCACGATCCCGGCAGGGTACAGTGTGGAAATCAGTGCGGTGGGTTGCTCAGAGCCATACGAATTATCCTCTAGAATTGGTTAAGGTTAATATTATTTAATATACCTTTTACAGCTCCGTCAACAACTGGACTACCAACCACTACACACGGTAAGAAAACTCAGTTTCATTTGATAGGGAACCAAGTTAAAAAGTGCAAAACAAATTACGTTATTGTTTGCATCCAAAGCTCCAACTACTACAGAAAAACCTACTACTCCCAGTACCAAACCAACCACACAATCGATTCAAACCACCAGCAAACCCAGCACTAAACAAGCTCCAACAAGTACAGAGCAGCAAAGCACAACAGATACAACCACTGCAGAAGGTAAGCATACAGCAATTTTCGTATGACTGTAAAGCCGCTCAGTGACGTATGCTTGCGCGCCTTGCCTTTCCACGACCGTGATGTTTTCTAGAACTTTGATTGGCTGATTTTTTTTCTCGCGCAATAATACTAATACTTTAATTAAGGATCTATTAATTATATTGTTTTCATATTAAGATCGTTCTTTTATGTTGTAGCTGAGAGTACGACAACAGAATCAATTGTCACATCGACCAAACAATCTACCACCGAACAAGGTTAATCACACTTAGTATGAAAGACCAATAAAAAATTTTCGAAAATTTGCTATATTATATATTTCGATTTATATATCCTGTTATTGAATAGGTGAGACTACTTCACCGGTTGAGGAGACTACATCGACTGAAGCAAGAGAGACTACGACGACAGAGCAACCAGCACCAACGACCGCGCACRAAGAAGAATATGGTATGTTGTTGATCCACTCAATCACCAACAATTGTCCTGTAATTCTTAGTACGCAAGTTCCATAAACTGAGAGAGGCTCTGGACTAACTTTCGATGCCATTGCCCTCATTCTTGCTGCGCATGCTCCATAAACTGCGAGGCTCTGGGAAATTTCACTTTTGAACCCAGTGTTTAATCATTCTTGCTACGTATAATCCACAAACTGCGAGGCTCCAGGGTTCGAAAATCCAGGGTTCGAATAGATTAAAGTATGGAATAAAACGGGTCAAAATCGAAT